CGTTGTGAAGATCTTCTTAATAGTATTTTGGTTATATTTTTGTTTGGTTTTTATCCTTTACCTATTAAGTTGTGAAGGCCATTTTTATTATGTTTTAGTTATACTGCTTTATTATCATTTTTGAGTATTCTCTTTTAGGTTTCTTGTATTTTATTTTATATTTTGTTTCAGTTCTTGTATTAGTTTGTTTTGTATTCCTACACATTTCTTGCCCTCTGCATATTAAGTCAAGTGATGTAATTAACCAATATAGGTTCTATATTACAATATAAATACTCTAAGCTTCTAATCTTGCTATATAACTAAAGTTATAAGTATTCTAATCTAACTAATTAACAATAATAGTATATTATAATATAGCTAAAATTTTTAAATATTTTGTATCTAAAGAAAATCAAACTCTGGTATACCACTTATTTTTATATATAGTAATTAAGCCTAACAATTTAACTATTATATTACCAATTCCCAAGTTATTAATTATAAAATTATTTTAATATAGTAGTCTAGTTGTTAAGTAGCAGGTCTAGAGTTCAAATTTCATAAATAATGATTTTGAAACAATGCGATTGTAAAACTGACCTCAAAATTTCAGCTATTATGCAATTGTTAAATCCAGAAATCCTAATTTAGGTCTATTCTGCAAATTCGCTGATATGCTATTAATAATTAGTTAGATCTAGAAATTTGTAATCTTGGTAATACTATTTAGAATAGGAGCTTTGGTATACAAATAAATTTAGAAAACTAAAATAACTAAAAACTTATTTAAGAAGTTCTAAGTCACAGTTGGGTTACAGGTATAGCAAATAGTATAGAACTTTTGAGTAGACTACTTAAATTAGATACCAAAAGTGTATATTTGACTTGATATATTTTCATTATAATGTATAGTGTTTAAACTTATTTAATAAAATATCAGTATTAATAAAGATTACTTTTAATAGAAAAAATTATAAAATTATAATTATAAATAATATAATTTATAATATATATAATTAAAGTTAAATTAAATTTAAACCAGAATAAAAATTGTATAAAAATTAAGAATATTCAAAGTAAATTTACTAATAAAATTTTATATAGCAAGGTGTGGTGTCTTAGTGAAGTGGTTTAGTCATTATTAGTAAAGATATAAATTCTATACTCAAATCTCAAAGACAACGTTTTCAAAAAAAAATAGAATATATCAGCTAACAATCTTCATTAAGGTTGGCCCATAAATAATCTATGGTGTGTAACTAGATTACACATTAGCGATTCTGTGTAGCTGTAATCTGTGCATCACAAAACCAGAAATTAAAGCCCATTTGGAAAGTCCTAAGTAAGATGTAGCAGTAATCTTTGATAGTACTACAAGAAGGCTAAATTTGAACTGGGCCATGAGATTGGAGAACAGAGCAACCAGGTTCTTTAGTAGGAAGACACACTAGCTGAACTGCCAGTTTAGATATACCAGAGGAAAAGGCTACATTACATGCTTCGAAAGTATGAACTAAGAGGAGGGCATTCTTTAGACATCTAAAGCCTAGGCAGACCAATCCTTCCAAGTTGCGGCTGAAAGTAAGAAAGAGACTGATAAAGAATCCAGATAGGAAGATGGTTAGAATATAAGTACTGGGGTTGTTGTGAATCTTATAAGGGCAGGATTAAGTAATAGGCAACTAATTAAAAAGATTGGGCTTGAAATACAGATTGTATTATAGCAGCACCAAAAGGTGGCAGCAAACAATATATACTAATTGAAAAGAAATTACCGAACATGCAGATAAGCAAATGTGTAGAACATGCTTCATTCTATTAGATTTACCACAAGGATAAATATCTTCCAAATTAGTTAATGGCTAAAATCTTAAAGTCTTTAACAGTAAATTACTTTGTGAAGAGGTATATTAGAAAAAAATATGTGAAATCAGTTGTTACTAGAGAGTTTAAAGTATAGCTTTTTAGTTAGACTATAGATATAGCATCTAGTGTAGAACTCTTAGTATAGCACTAATACTTCGGGCAAACTATTTAAATTAAACAACCAAAAGTTGTATGTATAACTAGTTGTACTCTTGTGATACTGATATAATATGTATGACCAGTCTTCTGGACAACAGCCTACTTGATTGTACTAATAAAGTGCCAAGAATCTAAGTAGTCACTTTTAAAAAAAAAATAAAATTTTATATAGTTTTATATTTAACTCTTTTTAATAATTACTAAAACCAAAATCCTATTAATAAAAAATATATAATTTTTGTTAGAGAGTTATGGCCTATGTGGTGGTTTGTCTAGAGGTTAATATTGCTATGCAGAACTCCTCTTAAAAGATGTTTGGTATGCAAGCCAAGAGCATTATTATACAAGATAACTAGTAGGCAGTGCTCTTGTATAAAAAATCTTAATAGAGTGTGAGCAAAGCCCAACTTTGTCAATGAAGTTACTAGGTTGTTACTTCAAAGAAAAACACAGAAAAAACAACAAAAATATATTTTTTAAGCTGTACTCCTTTTATTTAGTTAACTAGTCTCTCTCTTACTTTTTTCATTTTTTGTTAGTCTTCCAAAAATTTTTATAAAGTGGGATTTGGCTTACTCTTTTCAAAAAATTAGTATTGTTTACTTTTCAAATTCAGATAGACTCAATAGAATGTAATTATATAACATGTTTATTTACGAATATAGTACTACCTCAAAGAAGTCAGATTAAAACTTCTAGTTAATAAAAATATCTAAAAGCAATCTTTGTGTAGAAAAATATTTGCTAAGGCAAAGCTTTACAATAGAGATAAACAACTATTATATTTGTTATATAATTATTTAGCCTTGCACAAGTCATAATAGTGCACTCTTGTTATATAGAAAAGTGAAATCTCCTTCAACTATATAGCTCATTTTCCCTTTCTCTTTTTTCTACTTATTTTCATGTTTTATAGAATTTTTTTGGATAATTCCAGTTCATCTATGAGCTTGGTGAGACAGTTGCACTTGGGCACCTGAGTAGTGTTGGGCTTATATTTTAAAAAAGATCCTTTTGGATCACTAAACTTATTTTTAATAAATAAATATAACAAAAAGATGGGTCACAGTCAGACTTGTCAAAATTTCAAAAAAAATAAAAATAAAAAAAAACAAAATTTCATAAAAAAATTTTACTTAAAAATTTTAACTTTTTATAGTACTTAGGCTATACTATAAAAATTTTTTAGTTTTTATAATATAAAATTTAAAAATAGCTCAGCAACCCAGCTTTTAATTTTATTCAAAAAATTTTATATAAAAATTTAAAAATGTTTACTTAGTAAATATGAACCGCTGTCAATAGTAGAGATGTGAACTGTGAATTACAGTATATATAAATAAACTGTAGTTTATTTTAAAACTATGGTTTTACAATAAACTACAGTTTATTTATATTAACTAATAGTTTTTGGATTGCATCTCTAATCAATAGAAATCAAGCAGATTGTTATTTAAAAATAAATTAATCTCTTAACTTTCATAACTTATATCTCGATGAATTTTGAGGCCAACTTGATAAATTAATATTCAAAAGAAAGCCTAAGATCTAGACTTTTTTTGAATATTAATTCATCAAGATAACCTCAAAATTTATTGAAATAAGTTGTGAAAGTTAAGGGATTATTTTTTTAAATATCAATCCACTTGATTTCCATTGACGGCAGCCCATATAGTTAAAAATTTTTTTTAATTTTGCTAAACTTTGCTAATTTAGGGCGTTCTCAAGCACCCACCTCAATGAATCCAATAAAAAATCTGATTGACTAGTTTGAAATCAGATAAGTTATTGAGTTCATTGAGGTAGGTGCTTGAGAACAGCAGAGATTTTTAACAGCTGCCCTGCCTCGTGAGGTGCGTCAAGTGTAATCCGGATTTGCATAAGGAGAGCATCTTCCTGCGTTGCGAATACAAAGTAAAATTTCCAATTATATAATATGGTTGGAATTTTACTTTGTATTCGCGATGCAGGGGGATGCCCTCCTCATGTAATCTGGATTACCTCATGAGGCAGGGCAGCTGTTAAAAATTGATAAAAATCTCTGCTCTTGAGAACACCCTTAATCTGGCTAGGTTATGAGAACCAATTAATTAAGGTTGTATATAGTTTTAATAAGTATATATTAAAATTAATTACTTATTTAACGAAATATTAAAACCAATTACGTATTTATTTAATATTATTATAATATTTAATAAACAAAAATTATATACAGTATCACACCTATAGTATTTAATATCACATTAATTAAGCTGGTAGGTATAAAAGACTAAATACTATCCATTAAAATAATAAGAGGCAGAGGTTTACGTGTATATTACTTCTAAGAATTCTAATAATTAACTAGTGATTAACGCTAATACAGTAGTCAAATATTTTTATCCTAATTAGTTAATAACTACTTACGTGTATACGTATTATGATACCATAGCGAACATTGTAATTAATAAATGTTACAAGATATACCTTCTTACTAATTAATTTTAATAATGACATTTGCCAGATGAGAGATAGTTTAAACATTTATAAGCATTTAAAATGAATTGGTATTAGGCATACGATTAAAACATATGCGTTATGCAAGTTACTTAAATAGTTCGTAATATCTTATTAAATCTATCATAAGGATAGTAATGTCGTCACAACACAATGCAGATAGGCGCCAATACATATTTGTTTCGGTATTGTCTCAAACAATTTTTTGAATTTAAAATGTGGAACCAGTGAAATTACGGTGAATTATTAAAAAGAAAAAAAATAAACAACGCTCAACGTTGTTAAGAAACATGCATAAATGATTGTCATAAACTTCCTTTTATAATATTGTTCTCATTTGGAATGTTCTACAAATCTATGCATAAGACATGCTAACAGATTTAAATATAAATCAAAGAAATTTAGGTCGACATAATTTTCATCTGTAGGTCAATTCGACATTGACTCTGGTTATAATTTAATTTTAATTAAACTTGTATCGAATCAATTCATTTGTAATGGACCGCGTTCTGTTAAGCCAAAAACGTTTCTCGAATTCTAAACATCTTTATTTTTCACCTCGTTTCTCTCCTCCAACAGAATTGCACGAAGAATATTATCAAAAAATTAATTTTAAATATTCGTCCTCTTCGTCTTCCAGTGTGATAACAAACCAGAGTACTTCTCCGTCATTTCATTATCAAAATTCCCAAACTTCTGACAATGCGTTATCAATCATCAAGTCTCCTTCTTCTCCTTATACGGCCGACTATCATTTCTTCACAAAAATATCTGACATTTCACGTCGAAATTTAAAAAATATTAAACTATTCAGAAAATCCCTCAAGAACAAATTACGTAAAGATATTAGCAATTACAAATCCAAACTTGAATCTCTATCTAATGAACGTGATAAAATTAGTAATTGTTATGTGGCAATAGCTTCATTGGAGCGCATGGTCAAAACTGAAACTCCAAGTAGTGGTTTCCGAGAAGGTATTTACGGAATGTTGAAAGCTTTATCCGCTGATCATGATGATAATACGAATTTAACAAATCAAATCATATCAACTATGTGGGAAATTATAATAAAAATCTGGCAAGATAAAAGATTAGGTAGATGTGCCATATGTAAGCATGGTGTTGTCATGGGGTCCTCAATTGATAACGCGAATGATTTGTGGTTATGTACTAACAGGAGTTGTATAAGCAATAAAATTGGGGTTATTTCAACTTCTTTTCTTTTGAAGGGTAGCGCCTAGCCGGTCTAGCTTGTTATCGATAGGAGTACCTACTGCGATCTTCATCTTATGTAATTATGGAAATGGGAAAATTATTAACATTAGAATCAAGGGTTTAGACAATTCCAATCTCAATATTAAATATGAAACACACTATCTTGGTAATATTAATAAATAAAGGAGTGATTTTATTTCATTACGGAGATTCCAAACAAACTTCATTTAAAGAACAATAATATATGCTGTCTCTTGCAGCCTTTAATAACGTCGATTACTCATCTTACGTAAAATACCATACATATGTGCTATCAAATTTCCTAAACGGTTTAACAAAAAAAAAATGTTACACATCTTAATACATGCCTACACTCTTTAAACGAATAAAAATATTGCACGTGATCTTAAATGCAATATTAATAATATTAATTCCTAGAAAAGGAACTCAGAATCAAAAATTTATTTGCAACTCAACATTTTACCTATTAAACTGCCTTCTGCGCATTACAAAAAGGTTTCCTTTGCGAGATTTTTAGTATTAATTAAACTCTGCCTAACATATTATAATAGTGAATAGCAAAAATTTTTTGGCGAAATTTCTTAGATTGGTTAGTAAAATCCTATCTTGTGGAAATTATCATTTCAAGACGATAGGTTTATAAATAAATTCAAAAAAAAATTTTTCTTGAATATTACTGTATATTTAGAAATAACAATAACAATAATAATAAAGTATAGAGTTAAAATAGTATTATAAGTTATACTGTATAAAAATTTAATGCTAATAACTTATAAATTATTAGTCGAAATACCATATTTAGTCAGATATTAAGACAATTAATGTCTAAATATTTCGACATGACATTATTTTTTTGTCGAAATGTCAAAATTTTAAATTTAACTAAATATCCAAATATATGACAAACGTCTAAATTAGCGATGTAATAGAATTATCCCAAGTTATAACAAATCCATATGGATTCGAATGTAATGTAATGAGAATTAGTTCGGGTTCACCGGCAATCACTTACATTTCACAGACAATTATTCATCGACAAGTTCATTTTACCGACAGTCTATTTCACCGAAGCTTATTTTACCGACAAGTATTTTTTTTATAAATTATACTAACTTTAACTCTAGTTCTAACCTAACTCTAATGATATTGACCAGAATTACTTTGTCTGTAAAATGAGCTTCGGTGAAATAAACTGTCGGTGAAATGAACTTGTCGGTAATCAGTGAAATGTGGTGTCTACGAAGTGATTGTCGGTGTGTTGATGGGATCCCAATTATGGGTTCCTAGTATGACTTTTATATAAATTAACGTATTTTTACATATACTGTACGTATTATGTGTACAGTACATACGTACAGAAAAAATATGTATATAAATATTTATTATTAATAATTAAATCTATTTTGTATGAAATTCACTTGTTAATAAATTTTTTTTAATTTAGACATTTCGATGTTGTTTAAACATTTCGACATTATTTTAGAATTTCGGCATGATATTAGAATTTCCTAACATTAGATATTTTCATAAATCGAAAAATTTCTGATGACCGAATTCGATGAGTTATCGAATTCGGTCATCGGAAATTTTTCGATTGTCCCAGAATTTTTGAGAACAGCTGTAAATGTCGAAATATTTCGACAAGCATAAATAATTTCAGCTAACAACATTAATTATAATAAAACTTTATAAGAATATAAACTAGGTATGTGATAGAAACTTAGGGTTTATTATAGGTGACACCTCCGACAAATTTCCAGAAACACATTTCGGAATTACACCAGCCGCGTGTTCGACCAAAATTACATTGTAATTTTGGTCGAAATCATATGAACACGTGGCGGGTCACGGGTCAAAAATCGGGTCAGTTAAATGAATTACAATAAACCGGTTTTTCATGAATGAACTCTAATTACGAACAAGGTTGAAAAGTTTTTTGACACAAACCCCTCTTTGCCAGAGGTGTCACCTATAATAGATTTAAACCTCTAAACTGACACCAAGTAAAACTCGTAAAGAACATATAATTAGCTTACAAATGCTAATATTAGTTAAATATTAAAAAAAATGGTCAAATAAACTTTTTGCTGTAAGTTTTATCGGTTAATATTTTGATTTTGCATTTTAATCCAGTTTAGATTGTATTTTAAAATTTTCATAATATAATTCTGCGTTATTAAAATTTTAAAAGATCTGTTATGTCTTCGAGATTATAAAGAAAAGAGATGGGGGTAGAGCTTGGAACGGAACCGCTATTGTAATCGAATTTATAACCGGGTTAGAACCTTTTAAATCCGATAATCAGTTTTATTATATCCGGTTAATCTTATTACGATAATGAAAAACACTCATTTCTTTATAGTAAACGTTAATTCACGAAAAACTTTTTTTACAAAATAAAGTTGACGCAATTCAGAAGAAATTTGAACCCGAATTAGGGTGGACGGAATATGCGTTCATATTCTTCACGTACGTACCATACATACAGGCTGCCGTCAATAGAAATAAGGCAGATTGACATTAAAAAAAAAAAATCAATACCTTAACTTTCATAGTTCATATTTCGATGAATTTTGAGGCTATCTTGATGATTTAATATTCAAAAGAAAGCTAATGTCGAATGTTTTCTTTTGATATTAAATAATTAAGATAGCCTCAAAATCCATCAAGTAATGAGCTGTGAAAGTTAAGTTATTGACGGCAGCCTATATATTCCTCAGTACGAAAGTGAATATTTTCACGAAATAGTGATTTTATAGATATAATTTCTAAATAAAGATGACACAGTTGAATTTAAATTTTCTTCTAAATTACATGAATTTTTTATAACAAACTGGAAAAAGGATTTTTGAGAATTAACACTTACCATATAAAATTTAAACCTATAAATGCATTAATTTCACAACTATACAGTCAGACCTCTCTAAGTGCACGCCCTTGGGATCACACTTTAATAACATGCATATAGAGTATAATAAGAAAAGGTGCATTTATGAAGGTCAAGTATATATTTGGGCTGGCACTTGAGTGTGCATTTAGAGAGGGTGTGCACTTATAGAGGGTACACTTAGAGAGGTCTGACTGTACATATGTTCACGTACGGTGTTGTAAAATATATTATTCATATATTCCAGTTCACTCTTATGATAACCGATTAATACAACCGATTAATCGATTATATATTCGATTATAATTTCAGAAAGTTGATAAAACCGGTTACTAAAAATAAAATCGGTTCCAACCTCTAAATGGAATACAGTATTTTGATTTATAAGCCTCTTCGTTGTCAAATATGTTATTTGTGTCGTTATAGAGAAAAATTTTGAATTCAAGAATATTAAACTTCAACTCAATATAGTGAAGTACAGTAAATATAGCATTATCTCGATATAAGCTATAATGAAAATTCTTTTTCTCAGCTTGGGATTTCACTATAACGAAAGTAAATTGTATTAGCTTCTATATAATAATAAATAGTTAAAATAGCTAGTATATCCTCATTTATAGTCGAGGCTGACCACTAAAATTGTTTTTTTTTATTTAATCAAAGAAATTGAACAATCTCTGGCCATTGAGTTATTATCGATATTATTTGATATACTGAAATAATTAAATATTTTATAGTAGTATGACTTTTACATAATTTGATAAAAGCTTAGTTTAATTAATATACTGTATTTACTATAGTTATAACTAGTTTATTGTTTTATTTATCAGCTTTATTATGTGATAACTTAAACATAGTGTCAATTAAAATTTATGTCGACATTACTAATTCAGATTAAACAAAATTTATCTGGTAACTGAATAAATACTACTATTTCATATAAATTTGTTCCACTTCTAATTATGATCATAAATGCTTATCATAAATACTTAATTTCATTACATAATCATTTCATTCACACTAATTCAGTCTGTGAGTATAAAGATGAATATTAATTAGTAGAATTAAAAGGATACGTGTTATTTCACCGACAGCTTAGTTCATCGACAATTAATTCACAGACAAGTTCATTTCACCGACAATTAACTTACCGACAAGTTCATTTCACCGACAATTATTTCACTGACAGCTCATTTCGCCGACAAGTATTTTTTATAAATTACACTAACCTTAACTCTAATTCTAACCTGACACTAACAACAATGACCAGAATTACTTTGTCGGTGAAATGAGCTGTTAGTGAAATAATTGTCGGTAAGTTAATTGTCGGCGAAATGAACTTGCCTGTGAATTAATTGTCGGTGAAGTTATTGTCGGCGAAATGCGTACCACCCAATTAAAACATATAAACAAGTTTATAAATAGTGTTCATAATCATGAATGACTATTTACCATACCTAACGCAATATTCTTCAAATCAGCTCATTCGCCTTAATTTAGTAGGTGAGTATAAAATAATTTATTAATCGGTGGAGCAATATCATGTTCATAAATACTTATTCATGAATACTTACCGTATTTGCGCGTTTACGGGTGATAATTTTAACAAATTTGGGTTACAAGAGGAAGTCCTACCTTATTGATGAACTTAGCCTGAATATTTTGATCAAAATATGTAATATGGTATAGTTAAAGGGCGCGTTATTTTGAGTCAAAAAGCAATTTACAAAAAAAAGAGAATTTCGAATTAATGCACATGTGCATTATTACGCGTAAATACGGTATTTCCTTTAAATTATTTCATTCATGCCAATTTAGCCTGTGAGTATAAAAGTAGTTTATTAATCGGTGAAATTAAAATAGAAAATTATATTCATGAGTCAATGCTTATAAATACTTATTTATAGATAATTACTGTATATGCTATTATCTAATAACTTTCAAATCAGTTCATTTAGTGGGTGAATATAAAAAAAAATTTATTAATTGATGGAATTAAAACAGAAAATAATGTTCACAAATCATGTTTATAAATGCTTATTCATGAATCCTTACTTACTATTACTTAATGCTCTTTAAACCATTTCATTCACGTTAATTTAGTCTAAGTATAAAGATTTATTAATCGTGAAATTAAAATTAGCAAATCGCATTCATAGATAAAGATGCTAGTGAAATAAAATTAGAGTGGTGAAATAATTTCACCACTATTGGTGAAATTGGTGAAGCTAATTTCACCAGCATCTCTATTCATAGATCATAGTTCATAAGTACTTATTCATGAATAACTATATTTACCATCGCCTAATACCCTTCAAATCAGTTTATTCTCCTTAATTTAATGGGTGAATAAAAGATAACTGGGGTCTTTGCCTTGAAAATGACCTTACGGTATCATGTACCGTAAGGTCATTTTCAAGGCAAAGACCCCAATTTATTAATCAACCCTATAAAAAAAGGTTATCCGTGTTTAATATTCCATGTTTTTTCGTAAACGCTGCATATTCACGGAATTTATTTCCTTAAATCATGGAGATTATTCTTATTCGGCTTGTCTGGACAAATCCCAATTCCAAATCCCAAAATCTATTCCAAATCCCAAATCCCATCCCAAATTCCAGATCCCAAATCCCACACCATGTCCCAAATCACAATATCAAATATTATTATTATCGTTATCCTGGTAATGATCGTATATGTATTATATATGTGTCTCGCACGATATGATGATGATTCTACCTCATCTGCAATGTGATTTTCACACACAATTTGTGCAAATAAATATTCGACTCTGGTTATAACGAACCTTGAAATCGGGCTATAACGAACCAGGTTTGGTAGAACAGATTTTTTTATAATAATCCAGGTTGGTTATACCGTACTCCAGTGATGAGTTCGGACAGTGTCCCAACCTTTTTTGCTACGTCCCAACGTCCCAACATCCCAGTGTCCCAAAATGTCCCAACTAAGTCCCAGGTTTTAATAATTAATAAATTAATTTTAAAAATATACAATTATATATTTTTTTAGATGCTGAATCTATTTTTAAAAAAATTAAAGTAGATTATTTTAATAAAATTTTGAGTAATTTTAATTTATAAAATTGCTCCAAAATGTCTCAAAATATCCCAATGTAGATCCCAACTGTCCCAAACCCATCACTGCCGTACTCAAATAGTAAATCTTTATATACTGCATTCGAACCCTTTTTTACCAGCTCGGGACTATATATACATATTATACATATTTCAATATAACGAACTATCATACTGTATGACTTCGCGGACATAAATTCACAAAGTCATGCAATCCAAAATATTCGAAAGAAATTAAAATTAGAGTAAAATTCCGAGATTTTCCGAAGTTTTTTTTTTAATAAGACTGGTTCTGTGCGTGATTTTATTGGTCAGCTTTATATAAGAACAGTTCAGTACAAAAAGAGTAAACTACTAGTAAACTATATAACGAACTTACTCTATACCGAACAAAATCATTCAGGATATGCAGTTCGGTATATCCAGAGTTGAATGTATAACTATAATTTTGCATGAAACATCAGTATGTTAAATATGCATTAGGTTTATCTTACACAAGGTACATCCTAGTATAAAGTTTGGATTGAGATTTAGATTCGAAAACTTGAGATTTGGGATGGCATTTGGGATTATGACAGCCCAAATAGGATTTGTCCGATATGGGTTTTGGGTGGGATTTTAAAGATTTGTAGTTTGGGTGGCATGTATAACCATGTTGCAGATTCACGGAGTTTTTACAAACAATATAAAAAGAAAAACAGAAAATAATATTCATAAGTCACGTTATAAAATATTAATAAAGTTTGTATAGAGTTATTAAAAAAGATTTTGCTAAAGTGCTAGCTAGTAATATCACTATATTCATGAATGCTTATCATATATTCGCGTAAAAATACCAAGCAAAAATTATTTCACCTAACCAGATGACGTATATATCCAAATTCGATGCTAATTTTACCTACAATCGAGGAAACGTCCAAATATAGATATGATTTTCTTTCTCTGTTACACAGATCACTCATTGTATCGACCAGTCAAAATATCACTATGGGATTAGTCGGGTTTCCTTATAGAAAATCCCGGGCTGAAGATCACTGTAGATCCTTTCCGATCTAATTCCGAAGCCAAAACATTCAATTTCTTTAAACTTCTAGCGACGATTTCTCAGTAACCACGCGATCAAATTTGGTAAAACTTTTTATTTTGATTCCATATATTTGTAAAATTAAAACAAAAAAAAGTTCATTAAATTTGGTCAAGTAGTTGTCGAGAAACATTCGCTAGAAGTTTTGAAAAAGCTTGAAATATCTTGGAAAAAAAATCTAAAATCGGCAAATTTTTTCTCTTTGAAATTTTAAACGATGATTTCTCAACACTCAGATATCCAAATTCAATGAAATTTTTTTTATTTTGATTATACAAGTATCTAGGATTAAAATAAAAAATTTTTTACCGAATTTGAATAGACAGATGTTGAGAAGAATCATTTAAATTTGAAAAAAAATTTGGCCGCAGCTTTCTCTATTACGGATATCTAAACTTTGAACGAAGATAACTCGGCCGTTACATAATCGAATTCGATCAAATTTTTTTTATTTTACTTCAGTGAGATTATAGAATTAAAATAAAAAAATTTTGATCGAATTTGATTATGTAATGGCCGAGTTATCTTCGTCCAAAGTTTAGATATCCGTAATAAAGAAAGCTGCGGCCAATTTTTTTTAAAACTTTTAATTGATATTTATCAATATCTGTCTATTCAATTTTTTTTTTTATTTTAATTCTACCTATTTGCAGAAACAAAATAAAAAAAAAAATCATTGAATTTGAATAGATGGCTGTTGAGTAACCATTGATTAAAGTTTATATAAATAATTTTATTGCAACATTCTTTTTCTTAAATTTTTTTTACAAAACTTTAAAAGATGGTTTCTCAACACCCATGTATCCAAATTCAATGAATTTTTTTATTTTGCTTCTGCAAGTATTTAGAATTAAAATAAAAAAATTTTACTGAAATGCAATAGACAGATATTGAGAAATATCGATTAAAAGTTAAACCAAAATTTGGTCGCAGCTTTTTTTTTATAGATATCTTAAATTTGAATGAAGATAACACAGCCATTACATAATCAAATTCGATCAAATTTTTTTTATTTTAATTCTGTGAGATTGTAGGATTAAAATAAAAAAATTTTAATTGAATTTGATTAGGTAACCGTTGATTTATCTTTGTTCAAATTTTAGATGTCCGTAAAAAAAAAGCTGCGGCCAAAATTTTGTTTTAGCTTCTAATCGATTTTTCTCAACACCTGTCTATTCAAATTCAGTAATTTTTTTTTTATTTTAATCCCACGTACTGGTAGAATCAAAATAAAAAAAATCATTTAATTTGGATATCTGGGTGTTGAGAAATCATCGTTTAAATTTCAAAAAGAAAAAATTTGCCAATTTTAATTCCAAGATATTTCAACCAAATTCAATGAACTTTTTTTTATTTTAATTTAACAAATACATATAATCAAAATAAAAGAGTTTTTACTAAATTTGATCGAATGGTTACTGAGAAATATTTGCTAGAAGTTTAAAAAAATTCAAAATTTTCAAAAGGATTTTCAATTTAATTGATTCTGATTGGTCTCCGGAATCAGATCGGAAAGGATCTACAGCGATCTACAGCTCGGGATTTTCTTGACATAAGGGAACCCCGCTTTAGACGTCCCTAAATGGGTAATATAATTATAGTCAAGAGCTAAAATTTAATGAATACTAGTCTCAGGACACGTTCTTCCGCCCGTGCTATAAAGATAAACCATGACAAAGAATATATCTCATGTCGGTTTCATACAAAATAATTCTATATGGTACCATTTGGGGTCACGTAAAAATAGTCCATTTTTGCATAAATGATTTTGTGTAAATCAATTTTAAGCAGTGTTGGCATTTGGACTATATCTGATAAAAATTTGGTTGGACTTGGACAAATATGGACATGGACTAATCTAAATAGTGTCCATGTTCATATCTCCTTCGCCGAATATTTCGGAATGTTTCAGGTTAAATGATAGCAACCAGGCACAAATCGGGTGCCTGATTTTAAGTTGATCACTACCCGATTGATGTCAATTTTTTTTGTTACAACAAAAATCAACATCAATCAGGTAGTGATCAGGTGGTAATCAGCTTAAATTCAGAGTGTACGTATCACTTCGTAGAAGTTTATTTCACAGACGACTTGTTTCACAAACAATCAATTCATAGGCAAGTTTTTTTAAAGACAATCAATTTACAGACAGTTCATTACATAGATATTTCATTTTATAGACATTTCATTTTGTAGACAATCTTTAACACTGATTCAGAAGTTATTTGCTATTAAGATTGTCTATAAAATAAATTGCCTATGAAATGAACTGTCTGTAAATTAATTGTCTTTAAAATAAACTTGTCTGTGAACTGATTGTCTGCGAAACAAGGTCTCTGTGAAATAAACTTCTACGAAGTTATACGTACCCAAATTCATACACCCGGTTTGTACCTGATTTGCCATCATTAGACCTGTGTTTAGCTTATTCTGTCTGGAATATTTCGTAGTTGCAAGCTCAAATATTTGATTTAGACTACTGTAAGTGCCTTAAGGCCAATAGGAAAAAAAATATGGAAAATACAAACATAGTCCATAAATGCCATTTTGTGAATCTTTTTATTATAAATAATATGTATGATAGATTCGAATTTATCACACATATTATTTATATATGTCAAATACCTGATCATGGGGGTATAATGAGCTAATACTTGTCAGCCCCTTGCAGCTTTTTGATTTAAAATCTAGTGTACTACATATGTATAATACTGTAATAATATTGTGAAATTTAATAATCGATACAACAATTAAATAAAATCAATTGCGCACGAATCATTTTGCATCTCTCAAAATAAGACACGAACAAACGCTTTATTTCTTGCCAATATTTGATGAAGATAATAACTCGGTGGACGAGACGAATATTTTGCACCACCTATAAACAAAAATAATAACAATAGCAATAGCGTCAAATATATATATATATTATTGCAATATATCACATACATACGTTTTTGCAAAAGACCACCAATATCTTTATCTCCTGTTAATATAATACACCCATTTATATACTGTACCCATTCTGTAAATCTATTTAAAAAAATTCGTTCAGTATTTGGATTTTTTTATATAATATCACGATATTTTATTTATATACTTTTTGTATGATATAAAACCAACTTGCCAGTAGTAACCTAGAGAGATGTTTTATTATATTAAACAAGACTGAAAAAAAAGCATAAATTCAAACTATTTTATTAAACTCTAAATTATACCAAAAAAACTTACCATTAGTCGGAGAAGGAAGCTTTTTAAGACCATGTGGAGTGCTTGGATTCCTAATGACATAGCATAATACAAGAAAAGATAAAAATGAGTCAATTTCTTCTTTTAATAAATTATGTCTTATATTTGCAACAATTGTTGAATAGTAGTAACTTGGCTCAATCTGAGAACGAACACATATCGTTTCGCTACACGTGTCATCAATCATTTGTCAGGTTGAGCCAAGTTTTTTTTATTCGATAATTTACCCAGTATTGGTGTTATCTGGCAATTTATGATCATGATTTGTAGTGAGTTATCGACTGTTTTATTGAATAAACAAACTTCATAGTGATCGATTCATATTTGAGATTTCCTAATCTGTTCCTTTGCTTTTTTATGAATGTGTGGCATGTAGTTACTGTATTAAGAACACGGTTGTATTATCATATCACTTAATAATTTAATGATTTTGTGCTGATCATGAGCGATCAAACTCAGTTGATGTTTTCGTAATGTACGGTTCACCACGCTTTCTAAATTCGATGCTTTCATTAAAGAGTTGCTTTAAAGTATCGAGAATTAATTTCATCTCCGGGTGATTAAAAGAATCCTTATCCCAACATTGCCTGTAAAGTTCATTATGTTATAGTGGTGTTCTTTCAATAGACTCTTCTCTTTTCCCTTGGAATACAAAACCCCAGTATAGTAAATGTATCGAAGTATTCGAATGGTGGTCTATCACTTGATATTTTTCAGAGGACTATAGACATCAGATTTCTTATCGCAATTGTACTGTACCTCGGGACAATAAAGCATTATTGTTCAAAATAAGCCTTCTTCGAGTACTAAATTATTAGTATTAATAATAAATTTATATAGTTATCAATGTAAAATATAGTAAAAATATACAATACTTACAAGATCTCTATGAATTATATTATCATATAAGAATAAAAGTCCCAGCAATACGAAGTTTATCTGTCCATTGTTAATGATTAAATGCCACTTAGGTATTCTCATAAAGCTCTTTCATTTGCATATTGTAAAACCATATTATAATGCTCTTGCTGGGTTTGGTACGAAATCCTGAAGAATTAAATCTCGATGTACTATATCCTGAGGCTCAAAATTTCGAAAAAGCAATATCTCGATAATTCATTGATTTGAAAACTAAATCTCAAAAAAAAAAAATATCCTGACAATCTTGAAAAAAGTATCCCGAATGAAATAATCCTGTATGTAATAATCCAGAATATAATAATCCCGAATGTAATAATCCCGAATATAATAATTCCGAATATAATAATCTCGAATGTAATAATCTCAAATAATGATTTCGAATTAATGATCTGAATAGGCAATTAATTTAGTTGGATCAACTTTTGGGTTGCGGTTAGTTAAATATAAATATAAATAATTTAATATATTTCAATTTAGACGTAATTAGACGCTCATAAAATTGGGAAATGTTAATTTGTCAACTTTGCATTTGCCGTTTGATTAATTTTGAACAAAAAAGTGAATGTTTTAAAAGCGTTGTATATAGAGATGGGCAAATCGCGGTTTATTCAAAAATCCCGCGCGGGATAGGATCACAAATCTGCGGGTTTCTTAATTTTTTGTGTTCGATAAAAACCATGCAAAAATTATTATTGAAAATCAGATTTCTTGTTCTTCCGAAAATTTGAAAAAGGGGCATGGGCATTATTTCGAATTCAGCCCGAATTAAGCTTACAGCTATTATCATAATTTCTGGGACACCAGCTCATTACCCGAAATCTTTATGCCATATATAAGAAAAATGGTTCGGGTTTGTTTCGGATAGGCACGGGCCTTTGTGGCACAGGTCAAGATCCGGGTTTGTACGGGTATGGTCCGAGTTGGTACGGATTCGGTGGTCCATGTGGGACCGTATGCACGTGCCAGTTGGACCGTAAATGGTACGGGTTTTGCAGCAGTTTACTAGTCGATTTGGCGCGGGTAATGAACGTAAATTCACGTGCCACCTCAATAACAAATAGCAAACATGTTAAAACATAAAATTTACATTAGTAATCAATATAATACGAACAAACCAACTGCATGTGAAGTAAAATTTTGTAAGGAATCTTTTTTTGTTAAGATACCCAGAGCAGCTTTATCGGTGAAATTATGAGATATTGAACTTTTTTTAAAAAAAATCATTTATTAATCTTTCGCTCTCCGCGAAACGAGCCAACACGTGCGCAACGTACACATACGTGTCATCTGAACGTGTTGTTCCGTATGACGTGATATAACGTACCACCCTTGCCGAAATGTCCGTGCCATTTTTACCGTGCCATTCC